GTGAACAAGAATTTCCCTGTAGATAGTGTTTTATTATTAGAAAGATAATTATCAACTATTTTGAAAGTAGATATTGTAAATCATAAGAATTTTCTTTGTTTGTGTGAACAATTTACTAATTAATATTCAAATTTGATTCTTGTTTTTCTATGGCTTCTTCTGGCTTTGGGTTTCGCCGTCTATATTTGAGAACTAATGTATACGACTTAACCATGCAATTTTTTTTATGTTTCACATTGGTATCGTACTTAGTGTCCAAAACACTATTTTCTGAGAGGAAAGGAGGTTTCAAGATATGTATCGTATGTTTCAAATTTGTTTTGTACTTAAACTATTGAATTCATTCTTATCTAAGTGGCATATTTTTTGCTAAAATCCAGCTGTTAAACAGTCTTTTAGTTTATAAAATGTTAAAAAGAAAAAAATAGTTCATATACAGAATAATATTGTATCAATTTGTAACTAGATGAGATGGTAGGGAGGGGATCAAGTGACTATTGTCTGACTAGTTCGATTTGATAGTTGAGGCTATAGACGAAACTTTATATACATTGGCTAAACACTTTTGGTACAATCAAATTCAAATGACAGCTTCATGTACTAAGATTAATCTAAAATATGGTCCATTGAATCTGGCTAAAAGTGTATTAACATGAGTAAAATGGATGGTTATATAATTTTTGCTTACTAAACCAAAATAAAGGAATAAGGTTCTTTGAATTGAAGTGACTAATTAAAAATGGTCTCTAATGTCTTAATCTTGTAAACTACCTTTTACCTTTTTATTGTTAGAGGACGTTGGAACATTTTATGGTCATGCCTCTCTCACACCCACCCGCTTTTTTATATTCTTTATTCGAATTTTGATTTGAATGGTACTTGCTTCAACATTTGATTTGCAACTTATTCTCTTTTATTTATAAGATAAAGTATATTATTTGTAAAGACACGAAAAATTTGATCTTTTTGCATAGTAGGAATCTATCCACGTAATTTTTTCAAATTTAGGAATCTTTAAATATTTTCAATGATTTAGATAATCCGATAACCACGTGTATTTTATATTAATCGATCCTTAGTAAGGATTCCTTACATTATAGTATATCATATCCTTTAGAATAATTAAGATTTATAAATTTTAATCTACCGTCTATAATAAACGAATTTAACTATCTAAAAATAAACAATTTTTCACACAACACGCACATTCTATGCAGACGATTTACAAAACCATTGCACGGTCTGCACCTACAATATGCAAAAAGTCGTATTCCATTAAGTTTTGTTATAAAACACTGTTTGTTGTGGACTACTATTTACCATCTTGTTTACAACGTAACGTTAAGATAACAATGACTTTTTTTCC